ACACTGTTTTCCGGGGCTCCAGCAAGAACGCGTCGGGCTCGCGCTGGGACGTGCCACTCGACTCCAGCTCGACCTCGCCCTCGGATGCTGGTCGTCTGTTTCCCTCTCTCTGGCTGGCTGCCTGTCTCGATTTCTCTCTCTCTCTATCTCTCTTATCTCTATGCCAAGCATCCGTTCTCTCTTTTCTATCAGTTCTCTTTCTTATTTGTTCCTATTCATTTCTTCTTTCTCGTTCTCTTTCTTCTCTCTCTCTATCATTCACTTCTCTCTCTCTCTCCCCTCATCTATTCTCTCTCCCGTAATCTATTCTCTCTCCCTCATTTATCTCTCTCTCTCTCCTCTCCTCTCTCTCTCTCTCTCTCTCTCTCTCTCTCTCTCTCTCTCTCTCTCTCTCTCTCTCTATATATATATATATATAATATATATATATATATATATATATATATATAATATATACATATATATATATTATATAATATATATATATATATATATATATATATATCTAAATATACATATATACTATAATATACATATATACTATATATATATACATATATATATATATATATATATATATATATATATATATATATATATATATATATAGTATATATATATATATATATATATATATATATATATATATATATATATAGTAATATATATATATTATATATATATATATATATATATATATATATATATATATATATATATATATATATATATATATATATATATATATATATATATATATATATATATATATATATATATATATATAGTATATATATATATATATATATATATATATATATATATATATATATAGTATATATATATATAGTATATATATATATATATATATATATATATATATATATATATATATATATATATATATATATAGTATTATATATGTATATATATAATATATATTATATATATATACATATATATATATTATATATGTATATATGTATATATGTATATATATATATATATATATATAGTATATATATATATATATATATATATATATTATATATATGTATATACATATATATAATATATATATATATATATATATATGTATATATGTATATATTACATATATATATATATATATATATATATATATATATACTATATATATATATATATATATATAATATATATATATACTATATATATATATATATATATATATATATATATATATATATATACACACACACACATACATATCTTGAACTTTTCCATCCCCCTTTCCTCTCTCGACTTCTTTCCCATTGTACGGTGTCCACTGCATACTGTCTCCTATTTCAATTCTGTTCCATCCATCCTTTTCCTCTTCCTGCACCGTTCTCCCCACCCCCTTTCTCCTCTTATCTTTCTCTCTTTCTTTCTTCCCTTTTCCCTCTCTCCTTTTCCGGGAGTCGCGATCCATTTCGACTCGCCCGAAGAGCAGAGGGGAACGGGCAAGCGAGGGGAGAAAAGCTGCGAATGGTGTAAAAGAAAATAATAATAAAAAAAGACATGGCGCAAGAATAGAAAACCGGAGAAGGGGAAGACGGGAATAAAGGCGGTCGATGGCGAAAAGGAAATAAACGAAAAGGATGAAGATACAACGAATCGGAGAGACAAAGAGTGATTGGGAGCAGGAAGGGAAGGAGGGAGGGAAGAAGAGGGGTAGGGAGTAGGAGTGGGGATGGGAGACACCAGGATAGATAAAGAAAAATATAGATAAATAGACAGATGGGCTAGAAAACTCATAGGTTAGAAACAGATAGATAGGCTAGAAAACTTAGATAAACTAGAAACACAGATAGATAGGCTAGAAACATAGATAGATAGGCAAGAAACATGTATAAATAGGCTAGAAACACAGAAAAAGAGAGACGGATGAAGGAATGGCAGATAACAACCAATCAGACAGAGAGACAGAACCGGAGAGAGAGAGACCGAGCGATTAGGCCTCCCGCCCTCCCGCCCGCCCTCCGCGACAGAGCAAACAGCCCAGGGAGCGCCATATCTAATAATTGTACAAGTTTCGGAGGTGTTTCGCGTCCCGAGTTGCAAAGCGGACCCTCGTTAAGTTGCAGGAGGACGAAGGAGCTCACAGTTCGCCCCGTCGGTAGCTTCCGGGAGGAGGCGCGGGCGGGAGGGCGCGGGACTCGGCTCTCCTTCCTCCCCTGAGAGCACGAACGCGGCATCTTTCGTCTACCCTGAAGCCTCTTTAAAGGTTTCATCTCCGGAATACCCTTAACACGTTTGTTTGTTTGTTTTTTTCTTCGCAAACGCTGAATACCATTTAAATATTTTTTTCTCTCGTTTCTCTCCTTGTACTGAATACTAATTAAACACTTCTTTCTCTTTCTTTTCTCTCTTTTAACTGAATACCATTTATTTTTTTCTCCTTCACATTTTTACTTTACACTGAATACCATTTATTCTTTCCTCCTTTACGTTCCCCCTTCTACTAAACACCATTTAATTCTTACCTCTTCTTTTCCTCCTCTTAAGACTCCTCACCCGCTACCTCCACCGAACGGACGGAAGCCACCGACGTCCGACCAAGCAGGAACCGGCGCAGCGCCACCACCGACTTCAAAAAGCAAAGTCCCCCCCCCCTAGATCCCCACCACCCAGGGGACACCGAAACTCCGAGGTGTTTGAACCCGCGCGTCGGGAGCCAAATCTCACTTCCTCGCACTTATCATCCTGATACATTTAATCGAATGTAGTCGCCATCCTAGAGAGAGAGAGAGAGAGATAGAGAGAGAGAGAGAGAGAGAGAGGAGAGAGAGAGAGAGAGAGAGAGAGAGAGAGAGAGAGAGAGAGAGAGAAGAGAGAGAGAGAGAGAGAGAAGAGGAGGGAGAGGGAAGGAGAGAAAGAGAAGCGAAAGAGAGATAGAGAGAGAAAGAGAGTAGAGAACAGAGAACAAGACAGAGAGAGAACATAATACTGATCGAAAGAAAGAAAAAGAAAGGTGGGCAAGGGGTGGGGGTCCACGCTCCACAAGCCATTACAACCACTTTTCCTCTACATTCAAAACAACCCAAACTACCCAACGACCCCATTACAATAAACCCGAATAAAGGCAACCACCAAGCTAAAATCCTCTAAGTGCAAAGGAGCAATGCCCTCACATAAAATACCAAGCCAAATGGTTATAATCTTCAAAGTCAATTCACAACAGAACTTGCAGCAATACAATATCTATACATAAAATCTTTTAACACACTTTTAAGACCGACCGCATAAAATGAAATCATCTAGATATCAAGGGGAAAAATATATATGTAGTGTGTGTGTGTGCGAGAGAGAGAGAGAGAGAGAGAGAGAGAGAGAGAAGAGAGAGAGAGAGAGAGAGAGAGAGAGAGAGAGAGAGAGAGAGAGAAGAGTGTGTGTGTGTGTGTGTGTGTGTGTGTGGTGTGTGTGTGTGTGTGTGTGTGTGTGTGTGTGTGAGTGAGTGAGTGAGTGAGTGAGTGAGTGAGTGAGTGAGTGAGTGAGTGAGTGAGTGAGTGAGTGAGTGAGTGAGTGAGTGAGTGAGTGAGTGAGTGAGTGAGTGAGTGTGTATGTGTATGTGTATGTGTATGTGTATATGTGTGTGTGTGTGTGTGTGTGTGTGTGTGTGTGTGTGTGTGTGTGTGTGTGTGTGTGTGTGTGTGTGTGTGTGTGCGTGTGTTTGCCCGTGCGTGTGTGCGTGAACACGTGTTTTTCTGTTTCTTTAGCCGAATACTGTCTCTCTCACTCCCTCTCGCTCTTTCTCTTAGTCTACGTACTTGCACTCCTACTCTCACGTACTCTCTTTCGCCTACACTCTCACTCTCTCTTGCAATCTCGCTCTAATTCTCCCTCTCATTGTGGTTTCGTTCTCTGACTCTCATAGACATATTAACTTTCGCACTTTCACTGTTCTTAGCAGTCGCACTCTCACCCCTCCCTCTCGTCTTCCTCAAGCTCTCACATACACACCAAGTATAAGCATTCTCACTCCCCTTCCCCTCTCTCGTCGAACTCTCACCCGTTTCCATTTCCATCTCACATCTTCATCTCCTCTTCCTCCCTCTCGAACTGTCTCACACACACACAAGTCATTCGCATTTTCACTAACTCTCTTCTCTCTCTCTCTCTCTCTTCCTCTCTCTTTGCACTCAAACTCTCACCCCGTTCCTCATCATCCCCAAACTCTCGCACACACATCAAACATTCACTCTCACCCTTTCTCTCTTCACATTTTCACTTCCACTCACCCTTTCTACTTTCCTCCTTGTCAACCTTTTACAAAGGCCAAACACACTCTCACTCTCTCTCTCCTCCTCTCTCTTCGCACTCTGACTCTCACTCCCCACTTCCCCCCTTCCCCTCCCTTCCCATTGCCCCGCCTGCTTAGTTCCAGTTTCAATAATCTCAAAACCTCTCTCACTCCTTTTCTCTCTCCGCACTCAATCTCTCACCCCTACTCCCACTCCCACTTTTCCATTTCCCTCCCTCTCAAACCCCTTACAAAGGCCACACACACACATACTCCCTCTCCTCTTTCTCTATCTCTTCGCACTCTTCCCTTCCCATCTCCCTGCCCTACCTGCTTAGTTCTGGCGTCAATAATTCAAAACCTTCTCACTCCTTTTCTATTTTGCACACTCACTCTCACCCTTACTCCCACTCGCCCTTTCTATTTCCCTCCCTCTCAAACCCCTCACTAAAGCCAAACACAAACACACACTCTCTCCTCCTCCTCTCTCTCCTCGCACTCTCACTCTCACCCTTACTCCCAATCATCCTTTCTACTTCCCTCCCTCTCAAACCCCTCACTAAAGCCAAGCACAAACACACACTCCTCCTCCTCTCTCTCCTCGGACTCTCACTTCCACCCCACTCCCACTCACCTTTCTACTTCCCTCCCTCTCAACCCCCACTAAGCCAAACACAAACACACACTCTCTCTCTTCGCACTCTCCCCCCCCCTTCCCCTCCCATCTCCCTGCCCCACCTGCTTAGTTCCGGTATCAATTATGGCGTATGTTGTCGCCGGCGTTTCCGAGTTGTGCACGATGTGTAGCCTCCGGTGCTGACCCGCTCCTGGGGAGAGAGAGAGAGAGGGAGATTGAGATAAAGAAGAAAAAAATAGGGTGTGAGGTGAGGAAAATTGTTTGACTATGATCTAATTCTATTTTGCGTCGTGGATTCGAGAGGGGGTTGTGTTGCGTTCGTGAGCTTCAGAAGAGCTGTTCTGTCATTAAATAAAGAGGGGCAATTCTGCGTTACAAGCTCTAAATATTCAGTATTGCGTCATAAATTTCCAGTTGCGTAACAAACTAAATATTCAGCTCTACGTCACAAACCCTAAACATTCAGTTCTGCGTCACAAACACTAAATATCCTATCATGCGTCACAAACATAATATACAGTCCTGCGTCACACAACCCTAAATATCCAGTCCTGCGTCACACTCCACATTCTCCGTTCTACGTCACAGACCCCAAATGTTCAGTCCTGCGTCACAAACTCTAGATATTCCCTTTTGCGACACGACCTCTAGATGCCGTCTACAACCCCCACCCCCCCCGTGGATGCCCTTCGTAGCCTCGGACCGTGTGAGGAGAAAATCATTTTATTTCCGGATATTATCGCTTCCATTACGAGTTTAATCATTTTGATGTGTATTTTAGTATTCCTTTATCGCCCGGTGCATGATTTTAGTGAGGTTTCGATGACACTCACTCGTGTTTTTATGAGGGATTTATTGTCTCCCATTTTATTCCCTGAGCTCTGAACTGCTTCTGACACATGGGCGCGCTTGTCTTCGCGTTTGTCTGAGGGTGGAGGAGGGAGGGAGAGGAAAGGGAGGGGGAGCGGAAGGGGAGGAGGAGAGAGGAAAGGGAGGGGGGAGAGGAAAGGGAGGGGGAGAGGAAGGGGAGGAGGAGAGAGGAAGGGAGGGGGGAGAGGAAAGGGAGGGGGAGCGGAAGGGGAGGGGAGAAGGGAGAGGAGAGGGGGGGACGAAGGAAGGAAGGAAACATGGGATGAGAGAGGGGGAGGGTGACGGAAGGGTTCAGGAGAGAAACAGGGAGTGATGGAGGGACAGAAAAGTTGAGAAAAGACGGAGGGGGGGGGGGAGGCGAGAGAGAGAGGGGAGAAAGAGCAGGAATTGTACAGTTGGAAAGAGAATACATAACTATGTGTATGCTTACACACATATATTTGTGTATTTGTGTGCGTGTGTATGGTAGTGTGCTCACGCAAGCACATGGTTATGTTAACACTATCTACGTCAGCATTTACTGGCGCGTTTGCATTTACGTACAATATACGTCGGCATCACTCAGGGAAGGACGGAGAGCCAACTGCAGCGCCAAATGAAATGAGAACATATCTATGCAAATGAGGATATCTACACGTATAACTCATAACCATTATGCAATGGTCCACCGACAAAAATTAATTCAAAGGACACCATTTTCCCTCGCGAGGATATGCCTAATATCAGGACACCAGCTGTTCCTGTCAAAGCCCATCGTCAACACCATTCTCCCGCCCGAAAACTTCCTCTACGCTTACGCACTGAACACCCCGGTTCGCCTCTGAGCATCAACAAAACAAAAATAATAATAAACTTCACCTACTAAGCTTCACCGAACAAACTATAGCCCGCCCCCCTCTACCACCCACCACCACTAACAGAATCATCCAACAGCAATGAAGCTTTATAGTTTAGCATCACCCTAAAAAATAAAAAAAGCTTCCTCTTTCAGCCTGGCCCAATATCCTTCACCTGTTCGCCCCCGTCCTATTCTCCGATGACAAAAGCATTTCCCGGGCCCTCCTCAAGCCCCCTTCGGATGGGATATTAGGATCTCCAATTAGGCCACCATTATCGCAGGCATCAGCATCCTCCGGCGGAAACACACTCCCAAGGATCCCGATTTCTGTTCGGCGGGAAGCAACGGGATGCTGGAACCGCCCGGGAGGTGGGGTGGGGGTGGGGTGGTGGGGGAGGTCGTCCTCGGGCAATTCTCTGTCTCACTACGGGATGCTGGCGCTCCAATTAGAGTGTCCCTTCGCTCTCGTTATCGCTCTCTCTCTCTCTCTCTCTCTTTGTTTACTCTCTCTCTCTTTGCTTACTCTCTCTCTCTCTCTCTCTCTCTCTCTCTCTCTCTCTCTCTCTCTCTCTCTCTTCTCTCTCTCTCTCTCTCTCTCTCTCTCTCTCTCTCTCTTTACTTATTTTTTCTCTAATCCCTCTCCGGTCCTCTCAACTCCCCTCAATCCCTCTCCATTCTCCTCGCCTCCCCTCAATCCCTCTCCGTTTCCCCCCACCCTCAATCTTTTCCGTTCCCTTCGCCTTCTCCTCAATCCCTCTCCGTTCCTAACCTCCCCTCACTCCCTCTCCGCTCCTCATCTCCCTCAATCCTCTTCCGTTTCCCTCACCTCTCCTCAATTCCTCTTCGTTCCCCCCCTCGCCTCCCTTCAATCCCTCTCCGTTTTCCTCCCTCCCCTCAATCCCTCTCCGTTCTTCTTCCTCCCTCAATCCCTCTCTGTTACCTCATCCCTCTTCGTTCCCCTCAATCCCTTCTCCGTTTTTCTTCACCTCCCTCTCCTTTCTCCGTTTCCATCACCTCCCCTCGATCCCTCTCCGTTTCCCTCAATCCCTCTCCGTTCCCCTCGATCCTCTCCGTTTTCTTCACTCCCCTCATTCCCTCTCTCGTTTCCCCTCTCACTCCCCTCAATCCCTCTCCGTTTCCCTCCCCCCCCCTCGACCCTCTCGCGTTTCCCTCAATCCCTCTCCGTTCCCCTCGATCCCTCTCCGTTTTCTTCACCTCCCCTCAATCCCTCTCCGTTTTCTTCACCTCCCCTCAATCCTCTCTCCGTTCCCCTCGCCCCCCCCCCCTCGATCCCTCTCCGTTTCCCTCCCCTCCCCTCAATCCCCTTTCGGAGAGATTGGTCTGTCTAATATCGATGCACGAGGTAGTCAGCCGGTTGTGTACGTCGGGGAGGGGTTGATGGGGGGGGTAGTGTAGGTAGATTAGAGAAGAGAGAGAGAGAGAGAGAGAGAGAGAGAGAGAGAGAGAGAGAGAGAGAGAGAGAGAGAGAGAGAGGAGAGAGAGAGAGGAGAGAGAGAGAGACAGAGGAAAGGAGGGAGGAGCGAGAGAGAGAGAGAGATGTATACGATGA